CCAGAAAGTAACAGGCTTACTTACTGCATGTGGAAAAGTGTTTCTTTTTACTGTTATATTAAAACGTTGTGTAAATATTTTTGGGAATATTAGATAAAACTTGAAAAATGTGGGGGGTAAAGTGGCTAAATCGTGTCTAACCAACTTTTGTCTAGTATGTGTAACTGCTTATTTTTGCGTTCTTAGTCATTTGCAGACACTGTCTGAATAGCAACAGCTTTGGTCTGTATTGCAGAAGTGTATCACATTAACAAACATACAGGTGCACCAAAGTACATGCTCAATAATCAAAGTATAAAATCCATACATTTTCAGTCTGACCATCTGGACTTTTTTTTAAAACTTTATTATTATTATTATTATTTTTTTATTGTGCCGAGAAGTTTTGCCTTCCATCCAGAAGGCTTAATCAGTCAGGTTTGTTTGGCGTTTCCTCAGACTGAAGCCTGAAAGGCAAAACGTCTCGGCACCAAAAAAGAAACCGTCCAGATGACCTGACTGAAAATTGTTGTATAACACACAGGTGGTGCTCCATAAAATTAGAATATCATGAAAAAAAAATTTTTTTTTCTTCAGTAATTCGGTTTCAAAATGTGAAACTTTTTTTATATATTTGTTCATTACACAGACTGAAATATATTTCAAATGTTTGTTCTTTTTAATTTTGATGAATATAACTGACAACTAATGGAAAAACTCAAATTCAATAGCTCATAAAATTAGAATATTATGAAAAGGTTCAATATTGAAGACACCTGGTGCCACACTGTAATCAGCTAATTAACTAAACGTGTGCACAGGCCTTTAAATGGTCTCTCAGTCTAGTTCTGCTACACAATCTTGGGGAAGACTGACTTGACATTTGTCCAAAAGATGACCATTTGACACCTTGCACAAGGAGAGCAAGACACACAAGTTCATTGCTAGAGACTGGCTGTGCACAGAGCTCTGTGTCCAAGCACATTAATATTGAGGCAAAGGGAAGGAAACGACGTGGTAGAAATGGTGTACAAGCAATGGGGATAACTGCACCCTGGAGAGGATTGTTAAACAATTTATTCCAAAATGTGGGGGAGATTCACAAAAAGTAGACTGCAGCTGAAGTCGGTGCTTCAAGAACCACCACGCACAGACATATGCAAGACATGAGTTTCAGCTGTTGCGTTCCTTGTGTCAAGCCGCTCTTGAACAAGAGACTGCATCAGAAGTGTCAAGCCTGGGCTAAAGATGAACAAAAGGACTGGACTGCTGCTGAGTGGTCTAAAGTTATGTTCTCTGATAAAAAGTAAATTTTTCATTTCCTTTGGAAATGAAGGTCCCAGAGTCTAGAGGAAGAGAGGAGATGCACATAATCCATGTTGCTTGAGGTCCAGTGTCAATTTTCCAAAGTCAGTGATTGTTTGGGGTGCCATGTCATCTGCTGGTGTTGGTCCACTGTGTTTTCTGAGGTCCAAGGTCAACACAGCCGTCTACCAGGAAGTTTTTAGAGCACTTCCTGCTGCTGACCAACTTTATGGAGATGCAGATTTCATTTTCCAATGGGACTTGGCACCTGCACAGAGTGCCAAAGCTACCAGTACCTGGTTTAAGGACCATGGTATCCCTGAATTGGCCAGCAAACTTGTCTCACCTTAACCCCATAGAAAATCAATGTGGTGTTGTGAAGAGGAAGATGCGAAACGCCAGACCCAACAATTCAGAAGAGCTGAAGGCCACTATCAGAGCAACCTGGGCTCTCGTAACATTTGAGCAGTGCCACAGACTGATCGACTCCATGCCACACTGCAGTAATCCAGGCAAAAGGAGCCCCAACTGAGTGCTGTACATGCTCATACTTTTCATGTTCTGACTTTTCAGTTGGCCAACGTTTCTAAAAAATCTTTATTTTTTTTATTTTTTGTCTTAAGTAATATTCTGTCTGAATCTGAATACTGAATTTGGGCTTTTCATTAGTTGTCTGTTAAGATCAACAATAAAAGAAATAAACATTTGAAATATGTCTGCGTAATGAATGGAATATAAAAGTTTCCCTTTTTTAATTTTATTTTTTTAACGAAATTACTGAAATTTACTTTCATGATATTGTAATTTTATGACCAGCGCCTGTAGTTTACCACTTCTGTAAACCTATATAATTGGCTTTTCTTGATCTTCCATTTTTAAGTTGTCTTTAATGAGAGGTGGGTTTCACAGAATGTAACGGCTGTGAAATGAATCGCGTGTCAGCTCTGCCAGAGACACTGTATTTGTATTTTAGGTGCATTTCAGTATTTAGAAGGGAGGGCTTCAAGTAGACTTGTATTCATTTACCTCACCCCCCCATCTCTACTCCCCATCCCAGAGTTGCAAGTAAGACCTGCTTGGTCAGAAACAGATCAGTGCTGAAGACTGCATTTACAAAGCAAACTCACGTGTATGAAGTTTACACACGCATGAAAAGCCATGTGTAAGTTAAGTGTTATCTAACGGGGGCTGTGTGTGACGTTACTGATTGTTGGTTTGCTTTTTTGTTTCAGCCTTCCCAGACTCCATTTATTGAATCTTGAGCTATGTATTTGGGACTAATTCATGTTTGTTGCTTGCTGTCCTTCCATAGAAAAGTAATGGAGGTGAAAAGGATGAGTTAAAGTGGGTCTGAGAGCCAAATCAAAGTGATTGTCAGGACAGTGTTGTGATCTTAAGTGTTGTTGGCTCTCAGTAAGTCTTGTTATGCCTGCTTGCCATATGTGCAGATGAGGCTTGGCATTTAAGCAGCGTGTGTCCTCAAAGAGGAAAAAATGAGGAATAGGACATTTAAGTTTGTCAACAACTGAATAAAATCTGTTTTTACATTTTAATCTAAACTTAATTTAGATAATTTCCCTCTACATTTTCCAGTTAAGTTTCATGGAGGATTTAATGTTAAAGTACAAAACTGCTATATGCTTCAAAATATCAATGACATCTATCGAAACGCAGTGTAAAGGTCAATGAGTGGAGCATCTCTGGGCTCAGAACTGTCTGAAGTGGATCACTGCAGAAATGTGGCTGTCATCAGTGAGATCTAACTCTGGTTAAAAACCATTCGCATGGTTGGCAACACCATGAGACAAAGTAACAATTAAAAAGCTTCAAGATTTTGAATATTCTCTTAAGGGTTACAAAGAAGCGTGGTAATGGTAGAATGAAGTATTGTTCCAGTCATTTTTAAAACGAATGCATAATTTGATACAAAGTGAACTTGAGATTAAAACAAGTTTGATCTTTCGTTCAAACCTTGATGAATTTACAGAATTATTGATTACTTTTTTTTTTTTTTTTCTCTGTGTCCATCAAAGTTAAGTCCGGTCCTCTGGACCGTTTCTTTGTGTTTGAACTGTTTCATCTCTCATCCAAGAAACCTCTTCAGTCCGAGGAGCCACAACAAACTGTCTTATAAGTAGCACCTTCACATAGTGGGCCGACCAGTTTGGTGGTGGTGAGCTGGTTTCTGGTTTCCATTTTGGCCATGGCTGCCTGAGACGAGTCGGCGGGGGAGAGGGCGGACTCATGTGCATCTCATTGTTTACTGTTGTTGTTGTCTGTACTTGATATGTTCTGTCTGGAACAGGTCCCTCTTGTAAATGAGTCTTCGTGGTTCAATGAGACTAGCCTGTATAAATAAATGTTGAATGGG